GTTGCGTTGTCGGAGTTGACGACTGAGCGCATGGGACGAGCCGCAGGAGTCGTAACACCGCCGTAGACGACAGTCACTGCCAACAAAACGAATATCAACTGAAACGAAAATAAACATCATTAGATAACTTTTGTGGTCGACGATTGAATGCCAAACAAAAGATCACCGCCTCAAATACGATGTACAATATTTTATTATTCGCGATACAATTGAAATCGCTTTTGCAATGGTTTCAAGATTGTACGCAAAGCGCATAACTCGTTGTCACTATCCAAACGAAATTGTTGAACTGCGTTAAAAAAAAAACTTGTTTCGGAGATATCACATGAAACGAATTACATCCGATTACTTACACGAGTTGTTTAAATTTGGTTATAATTGTATTCAAAAGTGTACTCAAATATAATCGAAAATTCGCAGAATTCGATCAATAATAGAAATAAAAAAAAAAAATAAAAGTTAATTTAATTACTTAAAATCGCAAATTCATTATAATATTACAAATGTTAATGTAACTATAAAAAAAAAAATCAAAAGTTTTGAATTATCATTATTTTAATCGGAAAAGAAATTGAGTACTAATAATAAAATGATAGAGAACGAAAATGAACGCAGTTGAACGCAATGAACGCATTCAAGTTTATGAAATAAAAATCGAAGTATAATAGGAGATTATTTATTTATTCTTTTTTTTTTTTTTTGTAATCGAATCAAGAGGAAACAGTTATTTTACAAATGAATACTTGCCGAGATTTGCATGATGAAGTCGGACACGAAAATTACTTGGAAACGATACGTCTGGACTTGCGATGTGCGAGTGAAACTCAGTGAATTTCGGAACACTTTTTGAAGAGAGCCCAGGGAAAACTCCCTATTTATAGTAGGCCCGTCCAGGCGGCAAACGAAGACGCGCCTACATATCTTCACCTCTCCGCACCACCAGCTGACCACTTGTCCTGCGGCGGCCGTAATCCTTGCTATCGGCTGCCACGTGCATGACCTGCAATTCGTACCCCACTAACCACTTCATTCGTGGGAACGCCCAGGTAACGTCTTTGAATTTCTACTATCTAGTAAATAGCCCGGTCACGGGTACAGCCGATTCCACAAATGCGATACAACGACGGCAGCGGCTGCGATTAATCGCAGCCAAATATCGTATAGGCGTCGAAGTCTTTAACCGGCTTCGATGGCTGTGACCGTAGTCCTGTCAGTTGGCCCGTGTGATGTCGTGGGATCTGATGAAAAAACGAATCCCGATTCCTTACCTAAAATATAAATATATTACTATTAGGTGTTTCCTTTTAAATGTGCACTTCCTCCTTATTATCAAAGGTCCAAAATATTGACCAGTTAAATAAGTACATTATATCCAACTAAACAAATGTGATAATTTTCTAAATAAACTTCAAAATTCAATAGTGTGAAAAACTAAAAAATTGACTTTGCTTATTCTTGTTAATTTGAAGAAAAAAAATGTGAAATTAATATCGCGTCTATATATAATAGGTATTTATACAGCAGTTAATTAAATTACTACTGGTAGTTGGTTGTAATAAGGAATGAAATACATTTTTTGACAAAATATTTAGTGATCATTATAAAAATATTGAAAATACTATTATTAGCAGGACTGGATTTAGGGGAGGATTGAGTGGGCTTTAGCCCAAAGGCTTCACAATTTTATGGTATTTAAATTAGGATACAGAAATAATATTTTATTTATGTTTAAACATATTTCATTTAATAAAATTGAATTTCATTTGGACGTTGAAAATTTAATTTTAATCTATCTTGTAATAGATATATTTGAGTTTATTGACAATGAATTTTGTTTTAGAAACTAAATAAAAGTTCCATGTGTTTAATTTTTTTAATGACTTGAAATTATTATTTTTATTATTGATTATTTAATTACTTACACTTACAAAGTTTAAGCGATTCCTACTTTTATAAAGGAAATATAATATTACGATGGTGAACTCAATTTGATTATTTTTAAGATTATTTATAATTAAATAAGTAATTAATTGTTACTACAGCTCTTAGCATTCCGAAATTGTTTCTCAAGGGTTTCGTTCGTTTTATAATAAAAAAATGTATTAATATAACAATTATTGATCGTTATTTAAAACAATATTTATATAATGTTACAGTAATAGTACGAATACCGGTGAAACCTACGATTTACCGGTAAAACCTAGGATGTACATTATTGCTTGGTCAAACCCCGGATGATTTTACCAGTTCAGACTTTTACCAACGAGTTTTAGTAAATCTTAATATTAACAATCAATGATTGTAATAGTCCAAAATTATATATTTTTTCCAATTCTGTGATAATTCTTACCTGTATTTATTCTTTTGCATTTGTGTTGATGTCAATAGTTTTAATTAATATACTTGATTTAATTTTTGAATGTGATACGAATTATAATAAAAGTTTTAATTATTGTGTCTTCAATGATTACGATATGGGACAGATTTATTACAAGATTAATTTAATAAATTGATATCAAGGCCAATGACAGGAAGTAATTTTACGAGCAGTAATCGTTTTACAATTGTCACGGTTAGTATTCAAGTATACAGTATTCAATATGTCGCTAACAATACGGTTTTTTGAAATTTTAAATGGTGTTGTTGAGTTAAAAAATGACAAAAATTATTTTTATTGAATTAAGGAAAAATATAATATATTTTTAATTGAAGTTAAAATAGCTAAATTTGTTAATGTTAAAAAAACAGTTCACTATCGGCGACTCAAAGGGTTTGATATTGTTAATATTGCTGGTGAAAAAACTGATTGTTCTGATGAATGATGACTTCGAAGTAATGCATTATTATGTTCAGTATAATGAGTTATATTATGCTCATGATGCAACAGGCCATGTAGGTAGAAACCTTATTATGTTAATAACCTATGTTAATAGCTTATACAACAATTTTAACATTGAGGTAATACATTTTTATATAGATAAGAATTATCACAGAATTGGAAAAAATATATAATTTTGAACTTTTACAATCATTGATTTTTAATCCTATGATTTACCAAAACTCGTTGGTAAAAGCTCGAACTGCTAAAATCATTTAAGGTTTGACGAAACAATAATGTATACCCTAGGTTTTACCGGTAAATCCTAGTTTTCACTGGTATTCGTACTATTACCATAACATATATATTAACAAAACTCAGTCAAATCAAATATAATTCACCGATACGTATACAAAAAATATTAAAATCCCAAAAAAGAAATATAATTTTATTATAAATTACTTTTCCCCGCGCTCCTTAAATGTTACTATTTCAGCAATATGAATAAATCGTATTCGAATCGAATTTTCAATTTTCCAATATCAGTGATCTGCGGGTCATTTTCGTACATTTATTATCGAAAATAACATTTATATATAATACGTATTCTTCCATTTTCTTGATATTTCGATATTGTTATGAATTATAATACTTATTTACAATTTATATATTATGTCAGCGGTTTTTAAACTGTAGTCTGCAGCCATCTAGGGATCCGCAATACTCATTTCGGGGGTCCGCACCAGTCTTAATACAATATACGAGTACATCAATACGTGACATGAGTATATTACTACAATATTGTTAGATTACTAGTATTTTTTTTTAATATACTCGTAATAAAAGATCTTATCTTTATACGATGTTCAAGAATTTGTATCTCAAGTATAATGCCAACCATCGCATCAAGTTAATAAAAATTAAATTTTAAGAATATTGAAAAAAAAAATGAAAACTAAAATAATTAAATTGAAATTAACCGAAAAATTAAGTGTAATGAAAATAAAAATGATAAATATGTATGTTTTGTTATGTCTACAAATGTAATTTATTATATAAAATAATTACTATAATTTTGGTTTTAATAACATGAGATGTTTTATAAAAAAAAAATTGGTAAAGGGGTTCGCAATTTCTAAAAATCGTAACCAGGGGTCCGTGGGTTGCATCCAAAAACCGCACACATTTGATTTTCATCCCAAAAAGGTCGGTAGACAAAAACCGCACACATTATGGATTGCCAAGTATATCGTACAGCCAATTATCGCATAAAAAACCCCACTATGTAATGTATTAATAATAATGTATTTTATATAGACGAGTGTTGTATATATAATTTTAAATTTAATTGCTACATTCAAAAGCTTATCTTATCGCACGTTGATGTGCTCGAAAAATAACCAGTACATTTGTCGATCGAAACGCGTGGTATAACGAACGTTTATATATCTACATATATTTATAAAATATAAAAAAAAAGTGTTTTTTATAAATGGAATTTAAAATAATTGATAGTAATAAAGGGCGCAAGTGTTTAGTACTTGACGATTTTAAGTATAGAAAATTCAGAGTGCATAAAAGTGGAAGTGTGCTTTGGCGGTGTTTTAAAAAAGAGTGTACGTCCACGGTTACAACATGTAGTGAAATGAAGAATATTCTTAAAACTTATAACACACATAAACATAAACAGTTGGAAACAGTTAAAATTCATATTCAAGAGGTACGTAATAATTGTAAACGCAAGGCTACTAATGACATTTATGAAATACCACGAAAAATAATACGAAAAGAAATGTCATCCATAGAAAATAATACGATAATAGGAAGCAATGACGTAAGCTTAATAAGGAAATCAATGTATTATGAACGTAGAAAACTTCTACCGACATTACCCAAAAGTTTGGAAGATGCTCTAAATTTGGTTTCAAATTGCGATATTTTAACCTGTCAAAACGAAAAAATGACCTATGTGTACAAACAAGATGAAATTATTATTGTGACGTGTAAAAAAAATATTGAATTTTTATGTAATCATTGTGATGAATATTTAGCTGATGGTACTTTTACATATAAACCAAAATATTTTTACCAACAGTATAGTATACACGGATGGAGCAAGAATTATTATTTTCCTTTAATACATTGTTTTTTGCCTTCGAAATCTGAATCGTGTTATTTAAAAATGTGGACCAATATTAAAAATATATGTATGGAGTTAGGACAAGTTTTAAACATTAACATCATCCATCTCGATTTTGAGATAGCTGCTCATAATGCTGTAAAAAAAACATTTACTGGTGTAACGGTTAAAGGTTGTAGATTCCATTTTGGTCAAGCTTTATGGCAAAAAATCCAATCAAATACTTACCTTAGGCGGTCATATAATGAAAATCAAAACGAAACAGGTCAATGGCTAAAAATGTTTATTGGATTGCCATTTTTACCAGTACAAGAAGTCGCTGAGGCATTCGTTGATCTAATGTCCATATGTCCACCACAAGATGCATGTATTAACTTTGGAGACTACATTTTAGATAACTACATCGAAGGACAGTTCTCACCGGAAATTTGGATCCATCCAATCATAAATGAAATAACTACAAGGACTACAAACGGAGCTGAAAAATTTCACCGAGGTTTTAACTCTGAATTTTACTCTCCGAATCCGTCTGTATTTAAAGTTATTGATGTTTTAAGAAATATTCATATCGATACACTAGCACTTATGAACCAATATCTCAAAGGAATTCCAAATATTGTCCGTACAATTGAAAAACAAAAACAAGTAAGTTAATAGGTGCATTTTAGTATTTTTAATGCATCATTTTTTACAAAATTGTGTTTATTTTTAGGAATATTTGTTTAATTGTTGGGAAGCATTTTTAAAGGATGGAGATCGTTTAACATTTCTCAAAAACGTAGGAAATCGTTTTCAACCAAAAAATTTGTAAACTTTTTTTTATTTATATTTTAATTATTTGAAAAAAACGTCGACAATAAATTTTAGCCACAAATATTATTATATATTCTTTTAAATTTTATAAATACCTATATACATTGTACCTCAATAAATTGTTTTTTGAATAAATATGTAGTATAAATAATGAATAATAAATTATATATCATTATAAAATGTGCGGTTTTTGGTTTCAAGAATTTAAAAAAGTGTGCGGTTTTTTTCCTGTATATTATTAAAAGTGTACGGTTTTTAGAGTCATCGAGGTCCGTGATCTAAAAAAAGTTAGAATCACTGTATTATGAGTTTACTATTTTAATACTACAAAACCCGTTGCTCATCGTACTCATTTTTTCCACAACGAACTACTGTTAAAATGAGCCCTTGCAGCACAGCTGGATGTCTCTGATCGATACGGGCCCTTTTTTCTCCCCATTTATGTATATGAAATATATTATTAGTTCGTTACAATTATTATGTATTACAACTACTATATATCATTATTTACCAGCATGATAAAATGGACATTAGCTCGTTTGTTATTAAAATAAATAAAAAAGAGAGAGGAACTGAGGGGACCTTGTCCTTGTTACAATTTTTTTTTACTTGCCCGTATTAAATGTACCATTTTCTACTTTTTTGTACGTAAAATCTGATATGGTTTTCTATTAATTATTTTTTCTAAACTCAACAATTATATACTCTTCATATAATTTTATATATTTTAAGTTTTTCCATATAAAAATAATGAATTCACATAACAATTATTTTACTATAGACACAATACGAGTAATTAGTTGTTGAGCAGTATTATTTTCGTGTAATATGGAAAACGAAGTTAATTTGTAACAAAATGATTGGTTTTTGAATAAACTAAATTCATTTTAGGACTGATTTTTAAGTTTTTCTTTAATGTTGTTTTATTATAGGTGGTAAGTTCATTGTATGGTACCTATTTACTATATAGTTTTAATAATAACCATTTAGAACTTAAAAGTATGGAAACACATTTAAATTAACTATCCAATGTATCGTATACATGTATAATAAAAATCGCGTTTTTAATTTTCAAAAGTCAAATCAAATATGTACGGATAATAATTAACTAAGCTTAAAAAATACGATTTGTAAAAGTTCTTAAAAAATTATATTTTATTTTACACCGTGTAACACATAATGGTATTTACGAAAGATATTAAGGAAGTATATTATTATTTGTCTAGCAGAGTGGAGACATTTTGGTTGAATAAATACATTTAATAATATACGTTGAACATTTATTCGTAATATTATAGCAAGTAAAAAATCAAACAAATGGCGTAGGCACGTAATGAGGTAGAGTGGAAACCAACGGATTAAAAAAAAACGATCAATAAATGGAATAAAACAGGACTTGGAAAAATTAGAGATAATAAATTGGGAAGAGAGAGTGAACATTTGTGAAGTGGAGGAGGTAGTGGTGGTAACGAAAAAAACTCTTTAAGAGTTACGATCACAAGAAGACGTTTGTATGATTATGACACGGGTCGTGTAAGGGTGTTTGCACAGTATTCATATATTTTTTTCGTTTATTACTCTGTGCATGAGCTATGTTATTGACGTCAAATGTCAGTAAAAATGCGACTCGGCTTTGTTTGAAACTGTAGCTAACGTGTAAAATATAATACTGGTTTTGACGACTAACGTTGGTTTACGATTTTAGAAATATTATATGTGCTTAGACGTGCGCGCGGGCCGAGGAAACCCGTAAAAAAACAACATGCACATTAAAATTATAGATTTCTAAACGAACAAGCCTCGTTTTTATAATTTTTACAAAAACTTGTTTTCAAAACGATTTAAATATTTTTATTTTTATTTTTTCATCATATGGATGGATCGAGGATTTAGTTTTTAATCTAAACATTCCAACCACACTAAATTTATTATATAGTTATACGGGCAGAATGTTCGGAACGTTTTAACACATTTTTGTGTACATAAAAACTTATAACGATAACTGGATATTTCTATGTATATTTAATGATATAGTAAGCCAAGTTTGGTTCGATATCCTTTTCGGAATGCATTTACATAACATATTTAAGTGTGCAGACGCACGTGCGCTCGATGCACCAGTGGCCCACCCAATTCCTGAATCTCACCAAATCACTTTTTGTTTTTTATTCTACTGGTATACGATGTGCAGTGAACAAAAACGCGACCAGTTATGTTACAACTACTTATTAATATTATTACTATTATTGACCTTCGTTTAAAAGTCAATATTATTATGCATCCGAAATCCGACTGAAGTGCACATATTTTATAGGTATACGTAGCGAATGTAGTCACATGCATGATACAAAGTTAATAAATATGAGGAAAATATGTAATTTTCAAAAAGGATAGTAAATAAAAAAAAGAAATCTATGTATTTTGTTAGACGAATAAAACTATTATGAATAGATAGTCTCAAATATGGATCGAAAGGGCATAATGAACATTGGGATCAGTGCCGGATTTACCGGGGGTGCAATGCAACGGAGCCTCAAGCTCTGAGGGACCTTTAAAACCAAAATTTTTAATTTTTAATTTATTTTTCATTAGTTTCTTTTTTTTTAATACATAAATATTTATTAAATAAATATAAAAGTGTTATGTTCAAATTTTTTTTTTTTTTTTAGGGACCATCTAATTGGTATTTGAACCTCGAACTCCTGTGATTTAGACCCGGCATTAATCGGGATTAAATGTATTCATCGAAAACTGATCGCCAATAATGCAGTACATTGTCGATAAAAATAGAACCTCTATGTTTGCTCGATTGATTAAAAACTGATTAAAACCACACATTAACGACTTCGATGGTTGACAATTATAGAATATATTACGTTGTTATAGAAATGCAGTAATGCGAATCATACACCATCTAATGGATCCATTAGTTTTACCTGTTATAATTTTTTCAGCATTATTTAAATTATTAGAATGTTTTTTCTCTCGAAATATCCTTTTTGTTTAATAATTGCTGAACAATTGGCTATTTACGCGTTAACTAAATAAACAAATAAATAAATGAATAAATGTTTTTGTCATGTAATATGCGTAAATAATTATAGTTTTTGATTGTGCTAATAAAATCAAACAAGAATATTTAATGTATTCTTTAGTAACACTAATTGTCAGTCGGTTTTTCTGTACAGTATTTAAAACCTTGCATTTAAAAAAAAAAACCTCTTGCGTTTTCAATACAGAAAGAAAGATTTAAATGATTAATTTAAATAATGAATATAATACATGCTCATTGTATGCATAATTAATTTTGAAAATATCGAAAATGTGAGTTTCTTAAAAACTAGTCGAGAGTGGTGTGAAAATGATACGAGTATTTATGTAAAACGTCGAGTGTTATCGATAAATTATGTACTTCTTAGATTACAGTATATTTCTCCGGACCGCACGGTACCAAGGTCGTCGTCAACGCATAGGCTCGTAGCCCACCCCATCGTGCGTATCCTGAGTTGTTCTCCCGTCGAGGTCAACGCGTAGGCATATAATATTAATAATAATAATAATAATAATATAAAATATGTGTACACTGCACGACACGAACACGATATATTTTAGCCGAACGGCCGACGATAGCATCGACGATAGTGTTAAGTAACAACCGTTGTTAATGAATATCATAATACGTTCTGAAATATTCGATAGTTTTCTACGTCCACGCTTAATAATGACCTCGAGGTTGTTTTCGTTAGCTTTTCTTTATTTATTTATTCGTCCTGCACCGCGGGTAAACACAAAACGAGTGTTACGTGTACGATGATCCAGTGCGTATATTCAGAGTATAATGTGCGTCACGCGCTTCCCCTCTCGTCGTACATCAATAATAATTGGTGTGCTTATTTTTATTACCGTAATAAATGTTGTCATTAATTTCCGGCTAAAACGTTTTGCACGTCATTTTATACGTTCGAACGAGTGAGTTGCTTTTACATATTATTAAATCGTCTGTAGAAAGCACCGATCGTGTTGTAACACACACTGGTCAAGTTATAACAGTTTAAGTTGCATACAACTAGGGTGGTCAACTTTTAAAGATTTATGATCAGACTCTTCCAAGTTTTACTACGTTCTCACGATCGACCAAAAAACAAAAAAGGTTTTTAATAAAAATATATTTAATATATACTCGTACAAATACACTTTCTTCATTTGTTCCATTTAAAATATCAATAAGTAATAATAACATTTATTTTACAATTTTTCATAACACGTATTTTGATGTACATTTTATCAGTTTATACGAAGCGATAAATACCGTTATTTAATACAGAATACACATTAGATTAATTTGCAATATACCTACATAGTTATTCGATCCCGGTGTATAATTTCCTTTTTTCATAGGTATGCATTACTAGATATTATTACCGTACATATTTTTTATTGGTTTTTATTATTTTAATTTTAATACTCACGGGTTGAACAAAGGTGCAAAAATTTACAAAAAAATAAATAAAATTTTTTATTGTTTTCTGAAAGAATTCGAAAAAATATGAAAGGTAGTCGCGATCAACTCGAACGCATGTCACGATCGTCACGAACCTGTCGACCACCCCTGTAGTTGACTGTAATAAACACACGTGTTATCGCATAATGGAAATCATAACTGATTGATGAACAACACTCGTGGATACCATACAAATAATAGAAGCATTTAGGTTATAGTTTTGATGATGTTGGTCAAGTATCCCGGTTTTCATAATAGACGAGAGAAGGAACGTTTATCTGTTGGCGATTGTTTCCGGGCGGTTCACTCGTAAAATTTAACGATTTCCAATTTATAGATACTTGAAATGTAGTTATGAACAAAACAATTGTCGAGTACTTATTTGTTGTCACGTCGTCGTGTACCAATTGAACCAATTTTACGCGAGAACCGTTCTATCCAAATTTCCTCTTTGACCGCGGCCCGGACACGTATTGTTGTTGCACGGACAGGACATA